ATATCTATCATGCATAGCACAGGGCTTGGTTCTTAACAGACATCATGAAACTTCTAAGATTCTCCTGTGTGCATGTTGTCGCCAAGTCATCTACCAGTTGTCAAAATTAACTTCTAATTTTGTTTTCCAAATACCTGGGTTTATGGTTGAAGATTTCAAAGATTTTTGCTCTGTGGTATAACCCAGTTAAGTAGTCTTTGTTCTCAAGTCACAGTTCCTTGTTTTGCCAAACTCCTTAGGTACTGATAGGTGCACCTCCTTAGGTACAACCCCATTGGGTTTCCAAGTCTGTAAATTTTTATGGAAGTAGATTGCCTCATTTTTCTCCCATGTAGCAGCCGGTAGGTCTGACCCGCCAACCTTCTGGTTAACAGCAAAATAAATGCCTTACCCACTATGCCACCAGAGCTCCCTAGAATAGTATGAAAGGGTGAAAATAAGATAATCTTCCCTCTCTTTCCTTGCTCCATGTTTTTGTTTTCAGCAAGCTAGAGTACAAGATTCAAAGGATTTTCCTATTTCTGGGAACATCTAAAGATTCTAGTGTAAGATTCTAAAGTCTTAAGGTTCTAAAATCTAAAAGGCCTAACAGAGACTCCTAGAATGATTAAAACAAAAATCTTTTCTCTTGGTTATCTGTATCACCACAGGTAAAATGACATTACTCCCTTAGGATATTTGTTCTTCTAAAACCAGAAGTCTTGGTTTTTTCAGACCAGATGTTCCAAACTATATACAAAAGTAAATTTCCCCTACAAGTCTTCTGTTAGTGTTTGAAAACTTAAGTTGCCAAGACAAATAACATGCTGGGATGTACTAACAAATTAATGCATGGGGTTAGAGGCATGTTATGACTCTTAGAAGTATCCAAACACTGACTCTTGATTAGAAAAGTGTACATTTGGATCAGATGTTGGGATCCATGCAAGTGCTTAAAATCTTTCTGCTTTATTTGTAATGCAATGGCTCCATGGTAACTAATAGCCTGCTAATAACTTTTTGAAGTTAATTGCCAGAAGTAACTTCTCCACAACTATCTTAACCAAAGATAATGGAATTACATAAGGAATCAAACTTTGTCAGGGATAGAATTACTATCTTGAAGTAACTTAAGTCATTTTGAACATAAGCAGCATTTTAGATTTTTGGTAAACATTTTAGTTAATTGATGTTTTAGGAGAAAAAAAAAATCTGATCCTTTGGTTAAGAGGGTGAGTCCTTTGAAGCTGGAGTTCCTGTTTTGTTAGTTTGTATCTCTAAGCCCAACAGAGCCTATTTCAAATAGCTGCCAGTATTTCAAATGTAAGTGGGGGGACAGAATGACTGTAACACTACATCCTTCATCACTCTGTGGAAAGACACTTCACAACATCATTGGAGCTTGATCTCAAATGACATCTATGGCTCTTACCTCTGATCACATTGTCTCTCTAAAGACCTTGTTTTTATACTTCAACACAATAAAATATAAATGTCTTTTCTCTACATTAAAGCTTAAATACATACATACAAGGAACTTTCTCTGGAGAAACATTTTAGAAATTAATGTTTATTATCTATTTCAATGAGGCAGCATCAGGAGTCGAGGAAGACTCAACTCTTCCTGCAGTATGTAGATGACACAGCCTTGCTTGCTGAAAGTGAAGATGACTTGAAGCAGTTACTGATGAAGATGAAAGACTGCCATCTTCAGTAGGGATTGCCACCTCAACTTAAAAATCCTCACAACTGAACCAACAACCATTATCATGATAAATGGCGAAGGCTGAAGTTGTGAAGGATTTCTCTTTACTGGGATCCACAATCAATGCCCATGGAAGCAGCAGTCAAATCAAAGGACCTCTCATACATAGGTCATATTGTCAGAGGGGACCAGTCCCTAGGGAAGGATATCATGGTTGGTAAACCAGAGGGTCAGCAAAAAAGGGGAAGAGCCTTAATGAAATGGATTGACACAGTGGCTATGACTGTGGCCTCAAGCACAGCAACAGTTATGAAGACACAGGACCAGGCAGTGTTTCACTCTGTTGTACATAGGATCACCGTGAGTCAGAACAAACTCAACAGCACCTAGCAACAACAATGTATCTACTTCAACATCTAAGCAAAAGATGGTTCTTATATGTGATATTTACTCACTTTACTCATGTATAGAATAAGGTATGGTTAAAAAAAAAAAAAAGTTAACTTCTGTTAGGGACCTCAGTGTAATGTTTCAATCTTTAGTAAGAAACTTGTTTGCAGGCAGCCAGGTAAAGGTTTTATAATGGTACATGGTACCTGGCATACTGTAGGCACAAGGTAGGTGTTTCTTGAATGAAGGTAGATAAGCGTATGCCGCAGGCTGGAGATCAACCCACTTTTCTAAGGTTGAACCGCTCAACAGAAACATAAGCCCAGGATAAGAGTGTTTCTTGAAAAACATACTGAATAACATAAAACTTATCTATACCAAACAGATAGCTTTTGAAGAAATGTTAGTTATTGCTTCCATTTAAGTACCTTGATAAAAAACATCCCAGGAGTTCTGATGATATTACTTGTACTTGATAGCTGCTGAGTGATAAAATCTCTGAAGCTGTTTTGAAATGTGACCCCTTTTCTTTTTCTCTTGGAGGCAAAGGCATTGATGATGTGGATCACTTCTGCCAAGTTTAGGTACTTGGAACTTCAAACAAAGCACTTTGGCATTTAAATTGTTTTTTAAAAAAATAGATCCTTAAAAAAGTTTGTATCTTATGCTTTGAAAATACCTCATGTCCTCTATTTTATCTATATTACTTAGATTTTGAGGAATGAAGCCTATGTATACACTATGCAACATGAAATGGAAATTTGATGGGCATGACAAGTAAACCAGCCAAAAACATAAACTTCAGAATCTGGGTAACATCCTATAAACTAGGTATTTACTGTCTCAACTTCACTAAACCTGGATTTCTTAACCTGAGGAACAGGAACCTAAATGGAAAAAAATTGTGTATTTTCACTAGCCTCTAATGAAATTTAGTGTTTCTTGTCATTAAAAATGTAGACAAGCATCTACAGTAGTATTTATGATCACCTGTGACTTTGTCAGCAATAAAAATTATAGATTGTTTATATTCCAAACCAAACCAGATCCATTGCTGTGGAGCTGATTCAGACTCATAGTGACCCCACAGAACAGAGTAGAACTGCCCCACAGGGTTTCCAAAGCTATAATCTTTACAGAATCAGACTGCCACATCTTTCTCCTGAGGAGTGGCTTGTGGGTTTGAACTGCCAAACTTTCAGTTAGCAGCCAAGTGCATAACCACTGCACCACCATGGCTCCTTATTTTTTAATATTACATTTATCTCAAATTATTGTCAACTCTCATCATTACTTCAAAATTATTGCAATTATAAATTCATCTGTGCTTCTTTTTGGTCTTTTATCTTTAAAAGCAGGAGAGTTCTTAGGCCAATCTAGTTCAAAAATTAAAGTAATAATGAAATTTTAGGAAGCTCTGGTAGCATAGTGCCTAAGGCACTTGACTGCTAACCAGAGGCTGGCGGTTCAAACCCACCAGCCAATCCTCGGAAGGAAGATGGGGCAATCTACTTCTGCAGTGATACTGCCTCGGAAACCCAAGGAGGGGTCGCTATGAGTCGGGTCTGACTCGACGGCACCTAACAACAACACAAGGAAATTTTAATTTCTTATAATTACTCAGTAAATTATAGTTTCTCTAGTTCTTTCTCTTCCTCTAAGTAATTCAAGATGTATAATTCATCAGTGTATGTAGCCATCTCTATTGGCAGGAAGCTAGACTAAATTATCTAAAGTTTGCAAAGGTATTCTATTCTCTTTGCACACTTAGGCTTTTAGTAATTTTTAGAAGTTATTTAGAAGTGAAATAAATAGCTTGAAAAGGAAAATAAAATGTAGCTTTTTTAAAAGGATAATTTGACATAATACATTTTTATTTTAAAATGTCAGATATGACTTAACATTTATAGATACCAATGATAATTATTAGTATTCATTGTTTATTTTCAAGTGTTTTATTAAATGGAAATAAGAGTGCCAATTTAAAAAAATACATTTTTATTACTTCTTACATGGCAATATGCTTAATACCCTTTTTATATAGTTACTGGGTAATATAATCTCTAATATTTCTTACAAGAAAAGTGAATGATGCATTCATGATATATAAATGATTCTATTAGTTAATTATTTGCATGTTCTTGTTTAGATCTTCAAGGTAAAGAACATCACTAAACAATGAGTGATGACTTTATACAGTAATTAGTAATAAGAATTTATTAACAAATAATCTAAAATATCACTAGTTCTTAATTTTCTTGCCTATTATAATTACAATTTTGTACCTTTTAATTCCCTATAAGGGATGTATATGTCCGGATTTAAGAAAATAAAGGAAAGACTAAGGGGCATTGTTTATTTCTTAAAAGAAGCATAATCTGTTTTCCTCAAGATCCTGTTTCAGTGTATCCTAATTGTGTCTAATGCTTAAGGCAGGTGTTAAATTATCAGCTATGCGGACAATGACATCTGCCTATAAAATGTTATTCTCAACAAGTGCACTGCATGTTTTACATCCCTCCCCTCCTAACAGATCTGCTTCAATTTGGGAACTCCAGTTCTGAAAAGGAATAGATGTAAATGGATGTTAGTTAGGTTATCAACTCTGGTTTCCCAGTTTGACTACACCTGTTCTAGTTGCGCTCTCATTTCTTATTAACCTTATAGGAAAATAATCAGGCTTCACATAATATAAATGTAACTTGTATAAAATCCAGAGATTTGGCAAAGCAAGTTGTGCAAAGTATATATTTTCAAAATAACACTGTATAAGAAACACATACAATGGTGTGTTTAGAGTATTTGCGGGATGTGCAGTTATCTCCACAGTTGTTTGTCAAACATGAAGTGTTCCCCTCCAGAATGCCTCCTCTGTTGTATTTGCTGAAGGTGAATCCACAAGCCTAGCACGCTGGAATGCTGGCCTTCACATTTTCTTCTTCTGGGTGGGAAAGACTCTGAGGACATCTCTTCTTTCTGAGTATAGATGACTGTAAGTAAAATACATACCTAAAATGGAGAATTAAATGGCAAAGGTAAGTTAGGTTGAGTAACCATTTCCCTAGAAACATTCATCATTTTAAAATATAGGCAGAGTGCTGCCTGGATTCCAGGGACAAGACACCAAGGGACACTCTCAGATGGAAGGCTTAAAGAATTATCTTCACATTTTCTGCAGAAGTGAAAGCAAAGCAAACTCTTCTACCGTTACTATTATTATTATTATTAATGCAACATGAGGAACTCTCTTTGGGATAACCTCTCAAATTTCAGTTATCTTCTCCCCACATGTTTTTCTTATATGTTTGATGTCTGTTGTTAGCTTTTAGAGACAATCATGTTCTTGGAGATTTGTGACAATTAGAGCTAGGGAACTACTGTTGAATAATGGAAGTCTCCCTACTTATCTGGGAAAAACTTGTTAATTAACTTTTTCCTTGACCCTTCAGCACGTACTCCATTCGCTTGCTAGGAAGTACTGGCACTTAAGTCTCTATGGACAGGAAACAAAAGAGATCTAAGTGAAAAGAAATAGCCAAGTGTGATATCTAGGTTTTGTTTGTAGATAGATACCTGGGCCAATGGTTATTTCTATAGTTCATACATAATGCAGTTACATTTTCTACTAGTAAAATTTTTCTTACTTTGTATAGTAAAATAGTGATATATTTGATCTCCTGATGTGATATAAAAAGCATTGTAATTTCCACATGCTCAATTAACAAGATCTAGTTGATGGTATCAAATTGCTTCTTTGGGCATTCCCATGTTTACAGACATGCCCATAAGGTAGATGGCAGCACAAACCAAAGAGCACAGGAAGAAAGCAAAAACAAATAAAAAACAACTTACCTATAAAGAGCATCATCAGATATATTTTCAACACATATGGGAAATAGATGGATAAGTCAAAGGGCAGCTTGGTAGAGTAAGTACCAAATGATTCAAAATAAGGCAACGACTGATAGATGGCAAATGCTGTTTTAAAAAATAAATAAATAAATTCCTTCAATAACTTGTTACAGAGATAATCTGCCTGAGTCTCTATAGCTGAAGGATATTCTGAATTCAATAATGGCAGTTTAGGGGTAATTGCTGAATCCTTTAGCTAAAGCTACAGTTTGAATAAATTTTCATCCAAATCACAGTAAAAGAAAAAATTGAGGAAAAGGAAAGAAGAAAAAAGGTACAGTTTGATATGGAAATCTGCTGAATGACTAAATTAGCAAGGCTGTTACAGCAAAGGGACGTGTTGAGTTCTGTCCATCTCTTACCTAAAAAGAAATACTGTACAGTGCTCCTTAAAAAGATATCTCAGAAAGCATCTGTCCCCTTAGCTACAAATAGGGGTGATGGACAAATGAATTTGGAAAATGCTGCATATGATATTTTCTTCTTGGCATTTTAAAGCACATATTAGCACAGTAGAGATTCTGAGGAGTTCTGTAGTAAAGAAACCAATTTCACCCAGCACTTCCTCCATTTAACTGACCTTGGAAACTCCTTCCTCCCCACACTGTAGTAATACTTACCAAAAGTTCTATGTAACTCTGGGAGAAATGCCAGCCTAAATTATTTTGAGAGAGGAAGCTTGTGTCAGATAAAAGAGATGGAAGTTCTATAAAATTGATCTCATGTACAGATTTATGATAACATTTTATGAAATGATAATGGATTAAGGTTATGTAAGATGTTGCCACTAGGATACTCTGGACAAAAGAAAACTTTACTATTCTTCACAACTTCTTGTGAGCCTAAAATTACAAGTTTATAAAAGAAAGAGATGAAGAAAAAGTCCACAGTGAGCCTCCTGACTATCACTCATTACCTCCTGTCCACCTGCAGGTGGCCACAGTTGTTAGAACCAGACACTGCAGAGGTATGAGCAACATCAGTGCAAGGTCCACCAGGGACACCAAGCCATGACATCTACAAGTTCCATGGGGGCTGCACCTAAGTCTCCAGTAAGTCATCAGTACAACTGGTTGATTTGGTCATTTATATGAACTTGGTTTTTATCTTACATTTTACCAGATGGAAAATTACAGTTATTAAGAGAAATTACAGTTATCAAAAGTTAAGTTGATTTTCCTAAGTGCATTTTTTTTTAATACTTTGGAACATTTGATCTATCTATCTATCTTTTCAATTACCTATATCCATGTGAAGGAGCTCTGGTGGCATAGTGTCTAAGGCATCTGACTGCTAATCAGAGAGTTGGTGGTTCAAACCCACCAGCCACTCCTTTGAAGGAAGACTGGGAAATCCACTTCTACAGAGATACTGCCTCAGAAACCCAAGGAGGGGTTGCTATGAGTTGGAATCGACTTGACAGATGTTAATTTGGAGGGTTTTTATTTATATCCATGTGAAAGCTAGACAATGAATAAGGAAGATAGAAGAATTGATGCATTTGAATTGTGGTGTTGGCAAAGAATCCAGAAAATACCACGGACTGCCAGAAGAACAAACAATCTGTCTTGGAAGGAGTGCAACTGGAATGCTCCTTTGAAGCAAGAATGGCCAGACTTCTTACCTACTTTGGTCATGTTGTCAGAAGGGACCATTCCCTGGAGAAGGATATCATGTTTGGTAAAGTAGAGGGTCAGCGAAAGAGGGGAAGACTTTCAACAAGATGGGCTGACACAGTGGCTGCAACGATGGGCTCAACCATAGCAAGGATGTGAGGATGGCGAAAGACAGGGCAGTGTTTTGTTCTGTTGTACACACAGTCGCTATGAGTCAGAGCCAACTCGATGGCACCTACAACAGCAGCTATGTATCTGTCTAACTAACTAAACTAGTTCCTACAACAACAGCTATGTATCTGTCTAACTAACTAACTAAACCAGTTGTCATTGAGTCAGTTCCAACTCATGCTGACAGCATGTGCCTCACACCAGAACTGTGCTCCTTAGGGTTTTCAGTGGCTGTGATCTTTCAGAAGTAGATCACCAGACCTTTCTTCCAAGGCACCTTTGGATGCATTCAAACCATCATGCTTTTGATTAGTAGCTGAATGCTTAACCATTTGTGTATACTGCCAAGATAAAGATACTGTCACCCACATTCCACCACCCAGAACGAAGCATTACTGACATTTTATCATACATGCTTCCAGACTTTTTTCTGCATAGATCTTATTTTACAATGGCATGAATCTCACAAAAGACAGACGTATGAGCTGAACATTTATCTGAGGTAGATACACTCCTTGGAGAGATCAATCATGGGTGAATAGAAGGCTGTGTATGCACAGGGAGTCAGCTTAGGAGCAGGAGTGCATGGGAGGGAAGGACACAGAGAAGAGGTAACTATGGAGAGGAAGTGGGAGGGGAGCTGTTGCATTGTGGGAAATTGCAGTCAATGTCATGAGACAAAGTGTATGTGAGTTGTTGTATGGAAAATGAATTTGCTCTGTAAACTTGCACCCAAATCACAATAAAAAAAATTTTTAAATAAGTTTATGAAACTCAATTTAATAAAATAATAGGGTTGTATGGCAAATATATAAGAACATGGCTTTTCTAGAAAAGAGAGGTTTTAAATTATGAAACAACAATAAATGAAAAGTTCTCTATTCATTTATTCATCCCTTACTTTTAAGGAGCCCTGGTGGCATAGTGCCTAAGGCATTTGACTGCCAACCAGAAAGCTGGTGTTTCAAATCCACCAGCCACTCCTCAGAAGGAAGTTTGGGCAATCTACTTCCATAGTGATACCACCTCAGAAACCCAAGGAGGGGAAGGGATTAGTGCTTTTTCTACCTCATTCCTTTATATATTCCTTATCATATTTTTCACAGGATATAATAAAGGAATGTACTTAATAATTGTTTCAATGACTAAGGGATTTCATTCTCAAATGGGTAATCAGTTTTTATGGATTTCAAACTTATTCTCTAGAATTTCTTGGTATAGTCTATTCTAAAATTTAATAATTCTTCCTTTTGAAAACAAATTTTAAAATCCCTTGTATCTAATATGATTGGCTATAATTTAAGCTCCTTTTGTCTAGTCATCAGTATATAGGAAACACGTGGTTATAATTTATATACTGGCCTTTACGTGGTTTACGATTACTGCCAACATCACCATCATGTTATGTCAAATCTGGTTCCTTATGTTTTCCCTTAGTTACCTTAACATGCTTTCTTAATTTCTTCATGCCCTCCATTTCAAAACTTTAATCATGTCTGTTTCAGAAAGCGCTCTACCAGGCTGCCAAATCCATTACAGAATGGAGCAAATATTCCCCACATATCCTCAAGCTCTTTGCAAACTGATGAGTTAAATTATTTTTAAGTTTACTTAAGCTAAAGAATTAGTCTGCTTCATATTTTATTCAATAATCATTCAATATTTGTGGAACATGCATACTGGGTGCATGAAAGAAAGCAAGGAAGCAAAGAAAGACAGCCCTATACCCTCATGGAGCATACAGGCTAGTCAGGAAAAGGACATGAATCAAAGAATCCTTGAGATAAGCCCTGTGAAAGAGAGAACTGGTTTAGTTTGGGAATCAGTGATTACTTCCCTGAAAAAGTGTTGACTGATATAAAGCCAGAGAGTAGGATCTGTGGTAGAGGCTACGTAGGAAGAGTGTTTAAGCAGAGGGAACTGAATTCCTACGCATTAAAGTAAAAACAATAGAAATCAATACATGTTAAAACCTCTTTTTAGTGAGTAAGCACCGAAAACTCATCCACTGAGTTAATGGGAGTTAAGGACCAGGACTCAAATGTCCTGAGCCTTGTCTGGCATTTGGTCTATTGTGCAGAGCTGCTTACCCCTCTAACTTTGCTTCTTGATGCTTTGCATCTTTGCATCAAGGGAAATATGCCAGGAAAGATACATTAAGTGAGAAAAACGAGAAAACACAAATGTAATCATCAAAAACTTTAGTGTACCATTATAATTAGACTGCATTTGTCAATAAGCAATAAAGCAAGTCACTCTTCCTACCTTCAGCAAGAACACACAGAGGATAAATGGGCATCCATAGTGTTTGGCTGAGCCATGTCAAGATAGTATAGGAGATTCCTATGACTGACAACATGCTGTAGGTGTACCTGAAAGGAGACAAGGAGCTCATAAACATCATTTGTTGCTGATTTCTGAGAAATATCAGGAAAAGAAAATACCTTACTATGTAATTAAAGACATGAAAACCCTCCAGTTTGACAGATGACCCACAACTTGGGACTTGCCAGCCTCTACAATTGTGTGAGCCATTTCCCCGAGTTAAATTTATCTTTCCCTCTCTCTCTATGTTGTTGTTGTTGTTGTTATATGCCGTCGAGTTGGACCTGACTCATAGCGACCCCTCCTTGGGTTTCTGAGGCAGAATCACTACGGAAGTAGATTGCCTCATCTTCCTTCCGAGGAGTGGCTGGTGGGTTTGAATCACCAGCCTTCTGGTTAGCAGTCAAATGCCTTAGGCACTACACTACCAGAGCTCCCCCTCTCTTATATGTATGTACACACACACACACACACACACACACACACAGATACACACATATATAAAGCTTCATTGGTTTTCCTTCTCTAGAGAATCTAGCCTAAGACATCAACTGATACCAAGGCTTTAGGCTCCTGTCAAACTACTTTTTGTCCATGGAGATATACTTTCCTCTTCCTGCTACCCCCTTTTTCTGAAAACTAAAAAAGGGACTCTTCTATTAAGTAATGGTGGGGATTAGCAGGATCATGTTTGTATACAAAAGAAAAAAAAAATTCACTGCCACTGAGTCAATTCCAACTCACAGTGACCCTTCTTTGGGTTTTCAAGGTGGTAAATCTTTATGGAAGTAGATTGCCCAGTCTTCCTTCTGTGGAGTGGCTGGTGGGTTTGAACCACCAACCTTCTGGTTAGCAGTCAAATGCCTTAGGCACTATGCCACCAGAGCTCCTTATGTTTGTATACAGAGAATTATAAACTCAGGAAATATGAATGTGTAGAGATTGAGGACAAAAGGAAGATTCAGAAATCATTAGAAACTAGAAAGTACGCACAGACTGCTGAACCGCTAGGGGCAAAAGAAATGCTAGTCAGAAGTACTGGGCCATAAACACAGGAAAAGAGGGAAGAGTTTGAGGATGAGGAGTGTCATTAAATCAACTTTCAGATGTTAAAAAGAACATCTGTGACTTAGACACTGAACTTGATATAGGATTTAGATTTAATTAGGAGGATAATAATATTCACTCAATGATTAAGTGTGAAAAGGTAGACTGGCTGACCTGGGAGAAAAACACAATTTCTGAGGTACAATATGCATGACAGGATTAATCAGCACTTATTATTATTAAGAGTAATTAAGTGCTGATTAATCCTGTACATAAGTACGGTACATATGAGCTTAAAAGTTCTTTTACTACATATCTCATTTAGGCCTTTTTAGGATAGACTGGAAAGATAATCCTACCCCCACTTTACAAAGGAAAAAACTGAGTTTCAACTAGGCATCCAGCAGGTGTCTAGGTATATACCCAAGAAATCCGAAGACAAATGTCCACACAGAAGCTTATACACAAATGTCCATCAATGGATGAATGTATAAACAAAATATGGTATATCCATACAACAGAATATTACTAAGCCATAAAAATGAATTGAGTACATGGTCTTTGAAAACCATATGCTAAGTGAAAGAAGCCAGACACAAAAAGCTATGTTTATGATGTTGTTGTTGTTATGTGCTGTCGAGTCAGACCCAACTGATAGCAACCCCTCCTTGGGCTTCTGAGGCAGTATCACTATGGAAGTAGATTGCCCAACCTTTCTTCCGAGGAGTGGTTAGTGGGTTTGAACCGCCAGCCTTGTGGGTAGCAGTCAAGTGCCTTAGGCACTATGCTACTAGAGCTCCTATATTTATGATATCAACATGAAATGTAAATATCCAGAATAGGTAAATCCATAAAGACAGAAAGTAGATTAGAGGTTGTCTGGAGATAGGGGATGGAGGACTGGAGAATGACTGCTAACAGATATGTAGTTTCTTTTTGGGATGATGAAAGTGTAATAAAATTAGATAGTGGTGATGGTTGCACAACTGAAACCATGAATTACAAACTTTAAAACAGTGAATTTTATGATGCAGACAGTCCCTGGGTCATGAACAAAACCCATTCCTAAGTGTATCTTAAAATCAAATTTGTAGGTTAAATGGGAATATGTGCATACAGTTCTTACTTAGCCTTACTTTAGTGTAAGAAGAGGCTCAAGGCCTTTACAACTACTTAAAAGTTGCAGGTGCAGCAAATGAAAGTGATTGTGATGAAGAATTTGTTGTGAGTAAGGGTTGATTCAATTGTTTCAGTGAAGACAAATTTACATAACTTTAAAGGGCAAGTTTCACTGCTCTTCACAAAGTTTTCCAATAATATATCAGGTAGTGTTTCACTGCTATCCATAAGGTTTTCAGTAGCCATTTTCTTCAGAAATGGATGGCCCATCCCGCTTCCCAGCCTGTCTTAGTCTGGAACTTCTGCTGAAACCTGTCCACTATGGGTGACCCTGCTGGTATTCAAAATACAGGTGGCATAGCCTCCAGCTTCACACCAAGATGCAATGCACCACAGTACAACCGGAAGACAAGTGATGGGGCTACTCAAATTAGGAAGAAACAGCTGCAAACATTCATTAATAATCAGAATGTGGAATGTGTGAAGTATGAATCTATGAAAGTTAGAAGTTGTCAAAAATGAAATAAAACCCAAAAAGATCAATATCCTAGGCATTAGTGAGCTGAGATAGGCATTGGCCATTTTGAATCAGGTAAATCATATGATGTACTATGCCAGGAATGACAAATTGAAGAGGAATGGTGTTGCAGTCATAGTCAAAAAGAACATTTCAAGATCTATTCTGAAGTACAATGCTGTCTGTGATAGGATAATATTCACAAGCCTACAAGGAAGACCAGTCATATGACTAGTCATCAAACTTTACACACTAACCACCAAAGCGAAAGATCAAGAAATTGAAGATGCTCATCAATTTCTACAGTCTGAAATTGACCAAACATGCAATCAAGACGTATTGATAATTACTGGTGATTGGAATGTGAAAGTTGGAAACAAAGAAGAATCACTGGTAGTTGGAAAATATGGCCTTGATGATAGAAATGAGGCTAGAAATTGCATGACAGAATTTTGCACGACCAACAACTCACTGCAAATACCTTTTTTCAACAACATAAATAGTGGTTATACATGTGGACCTTGCCAGATGGAATACACTGAAATCATAGTGACTAGATCTGTGGAAAGAGGTTATGGGAAAGCTAAATATCATCAGTCAAAACAAGGCCAGGATCTCACTGTGAAACAGACCACCAATTGCTCATATGCAAGTTCAAGATAAAGCTGAAGAAAATTAAATCCACAAGAGCCAAATATGACCTTGAGTATATCCCACTTGAATTTAGAGACCGTCTGAAGAATAGATTTGATGCACTGAACACCAATGACCACAGACCAAATAAGCTGTGGTATGACATCAAGAATATCAAATATGAAGAAAGCAGAAGGTCATTAAAAAGAGAAGGAAATCTTAGAAACGTTTTAAGATGAAACCTTGCATGTTTTTTTGTGCATTTTATAGTAGTAGGAGAAGGTATAATATTCTAATTATCAGCCCCATTTTTCTCGCTTCCTAGTAGCTAGCAAGTTTAGCAGGACAGGAAAGGAACAGTGTAGAATACACCAAACCAACATTAAGGCAGCTGATGAAGGAAGTGGCTCTGATGGTGGTAGGGCTCATTTTGGGGCCAGATGAGCAGCGGACCTGGGGAAGACCGAGGTGGCAGAGAAGTCGCTGAGACCCTCCATTCACTGACTTTTGTCCTGGAACCAATTTCACGCAATGCCACTCTTTATTTAGACCACTCTCCTAGCCACATTAAAGCGCCAGCCCTCGATCGTGGTTGGCAACTTCGCCCCAGAACCTTGTTATCACCAGAACTAATGCTGAAGTTTCTTTCATTTCTGCCGGACATAAGAGTGACACTTCCAGTGGTGGAAGATGGCTGCCACTGTTCGGGACTCACGTGTGAGCGCAGGAAAAAGCTATTAAACCTCCCTAAAAGAAGAAAAAGAAGATGATGAAAATAGTAGCCAGGGCAAGCTGGAAGATGAGGACAAAGCCACTGCCGACAGGAGAGGTGACGTACTATGGCTGAGCTTTGGCAGCTGGAATGAAGGGTCTGGAAGAGTACAAGGGGAGCAGGGCAAGACAGTGGATCCTTTGGAACCTGCCCCAAATTTATATCATGGCGTCAGAGGAGTGACTTTGGCTCGATGAGAGGACTTGGAGAAGTGATCTTCAAGGCAGGGGAGCTGTCAACTTTGAATTTTCACATTCTTTTTATCAGACGTTTCCAGGACCAGTGTTTGTAAATGGGAGAAACTGATGGCTGTTGTCAAGAAATTTACAGTAGCAAAGGGTGAAAAAAGGGTGATATTTAATATTACAAGAGTGCACTAGATTTCATAGGGAGTGAGGAGCAAGTTAGAGAAAAATGGGTGATGTACCTGATGACTTTTTGTATGTCACAGTATAGATGCATGTGTGTGTTAGGGGCGTACATCAAATAGTAGTGAATTGAAGAAGAGCAGGTGGTTAAAATAAAAGTCATAAAGGTAGGAATTGGTCTTTGGTCTCACTCTCTTTTGATGATGAGGAGAAAGAAAGAAGTATTTCAAGACCTTCAACCATGATTTGATCACTCCGCACCTCTTTACCGTCATTCTCGGTTACAAGAAACTATAGACAATCCTTGACCTCTTACTGCCTAGTTACTGCTCATTTATACTAGCTGATACCCATATAACAGCCATAGCTGTTCTTTTATAATGCATCTCGTATCATGCTAGTTAACTGTTCAAGATGATCCCTTCTCTCAGAGTAACACCCACAGTCTTTAGCCTGTATGAACTTTCTTGCATTGTTCATCAACCTACCCCTCACTAACTGCTAACTCTAATCTAGCCATACTGGTGTCCTGCCAGTTTGTTTTACACATTAAACCTCATACTGGGTTTATGCACTTCCTGGTCCCACCACTTAAGAGTCTTCTGCTTCAGACTGTACGGCTTTCTCTTCCTCAGTTCCTTCAATGTATGATCCAATTCCTAATCAGACTTTTCTATGACTACTCTATCTAATGCAGCACTGCTCCTCTTCTCCTTGCTTCCCTGCCTTTACTTTTTGACTTATTACTGTGCTTTATTTTTCTTCTCAGCACTTATCAAACCGCCCGAAGTCATATATTTGCTTGTGTGTCTTTTCCAACAATTTCTGTGAGAGACTACTGTATCCCCAGCACCTAGAACAGTGTTGGTGCATAGTAGGTCCTTGACTGCTAATCAGAAGGTTGGCGGTTCAAACCCACCAGCTACTCCTCGGAAAGAAGGTTGGGCAATCTACTTCCGTAGTGATACTGCCTCTGAAACCCAAGGTGGGGTCGCTATGAGTCAGGTCTGACTCCATGGCACATAATAACAACAACAAATAACTGTACGAACCTAGATTTCCAAGAACAAGATGATGATACTGCCATATGCTATTGCAGTCAGAAATCTGAGTTCTCATTCCCTGCTGGAAGGATTAAGGAAAATAAACTATTTCTTGAACAGGAAAAGAAAAAAGAAAAAAAAAAAAGTTATTAAAAAGATAGGAAAGGAAGAGAAAAGACCAAAACGGATGTCAGAAGAGACTCTGAAACTTCCTCTTGAATGGAGAGTAACTACAGTGAACGGAAGAGGTATTGAAATAAAAGCTGAACAGAAGATTTCAAACAGCAGCTTGAGAAGACAAAGTAAAGTATTACAATGAAATATGATAAGACCTGGAATTAGAAAACCAAAAGGGAAGAATATGCTTGGGATTTCTCAAGCTGAAACAATTGACGAAAAAATTCATGCCTCCAATTGCAATACTGAAGGATTCTATGGACAAAATATTGAATGAATGCAGGAAGCATTGAAGAAAATGGAAGGAATACACTGAATTACTGTAGGAATAGAACTAGTCAATATTCAACTATTTCAGAAGGTAGCATATGACCAAGAACCAATGGAACTGAAGGAAGAAGTCCAAGCTGCACTGAAGGAAATGGTGAAAAGGCTCCAGGATTTGATGGAATACTCATAGAGATGTTTCAACAAATGTATGCAGTGCTGGAGGTGCTGAATCATTTATGCCAGGAAATTTGGAAGACAGCTACCCAGCCAACTGAATAGAAGAGATTCATATTCATGCCCATTGCAAAAAAAAGGTGATCCAAAAGAATGAAAATTATCAAACAATAGCATTAATATCATATGCAAGTAAAATTTTTTTTGTACATAATACAAGAATGGTTGCAGCAGTATATTGACAGGGAACTTTCGGAAAGGCAAGCTGGATTCAGAAAAGGGCATGGAATGAGAGATATCACTGCTCATGTCAGATGGATCTTAGCTGAAAGCAAAGAACACTAGAAAGTACTTACCTGCCTTTTATTGACTATGCAAAGGCATTCGACTGTGTGGGTCATAAAAATAATGGACAGTATTGTGAAGACTAGGAATTCCAGAACACTTCATTGTGCTCATGAGGAACTTGTATATAGACTAAGAGTCAATCACTCAAACAGAATAAGGGAATACTGCATAGTTTAAAATCAGGAAGGACGTGCATAATGGTTGTATCCTTTCACCATACTTACTCAATCTATATGCTAAGCAGATAATCTGAGAAGCTGGACTATACAAAGAAGAATGTGGCATCAGGATTGGAGGAAAACCCATTTGCAGATGAAACACCCTTGCTTGCTGAAAATGAAGATGACTAGAAGCACTTACTGATGAAGATCAAAGACTAGAGTCTTCACTATGGATTGTACCTCAACGTAAAGAAAAGAAAAATCCTCACAACTGGACCAGTAAGCAACATCATGATAAATTGAGAAGAGACTGAAGTTTTCAAAAATTTCACCTTTCTTGGATCCACAGTCAACACTCATTGAAACAGTCAAAAAAATATTACACTGGATGAATCTGCTGCAATAGACTTCTTCAAAGTGTTGAAGAACAAAGATGTCACTTTGAAAACTAAGGTATGACTAACACAAGCCATGGTCTTTTCAATCTCCTCATATGCATGTGAAAGCTGGACAATGAATAAGGAAGGCTAAAGTAAAATTAACGCCTTTGAATATAGTGTTGGTGAAGAATACTGAAAATACCATGGAATACCAGAAGAATGAACACATTTATCCTGGAAGTATAACTGAAATGCTCCTTAGAAGCAAGAATGGCTAGACTTCATCTCACCTAATTTGGTCATGTTGTCAGAGGGAGAAGGATATTGTTTGGTAAAGTGGAGGGTCAAAGAAAAAGGAGAAAACCCTGAACAAGATGGATTGACACAGTGACTTCAATGATGGGTTCAAACAGCAAAGACTGTGGGGATGGTGCAAGACTGGACAGTGTCTCATTCTATAGTGTTTGGGATTCCTGTGAGTTGGAATCTACTTGACAGCACCTAACAACAACAACAAAGGGCAAGTATGAGTTGTCTGTAAGTCATATTCATAACTTGGGGACTTACTGTACCTTAATTATATTTCAATAAATCTATTATATAAGAGAATGGTGAGGAGAGTTTCCTACAGTCATATAACAAGTAAGCAGTGCAGAGAGGGTTCATCCTCAGATCTTCTACATCCACATTCAAATATCTTTCCAAGATACTTTGCTACCACTCCCAAGGCCCAAATAATATAATAAAGCAGTCAGTTCTCCAATGAGTCTCTTAAGCTTATTTGAAACTGAACAGACATTGAGTCAGGCATTCCTGAGAATAGTAAATCAGAAAGCCCCAAACTCAAGAATAGAATCCAATGTCATGAACAGAAAATCATCGGCTACAAAAGTCCATGGTGTTTGGCAAAGTCTATAAAGCTATCAGTTAGAGATAAAAAGTAAGTTATATAAACAAAGAATTATAGTCACTATAATTCCAAAAAAATATTTCAATTCACTCTAGGCTCAACCCATTATTTAGCCATATTTTAATCTAGCTAAGTGATTAGCTATATAATAAATACAGAATTTACATAAACTCAGCTATAAAACTAGGGTCCTTTCATTACATCCACATCTTCCAAGTAGGAAGTAACAGCCCTCATTTATGAAAGTTAAAAAGTGAGCTAGTGAGCAAAAACAAAACAAACAAACAAAAAAACTCATTGCTGTCAAGTCGATTTGACTCATGGTAACCCCTCCTTGGGTTTCCAAGGTGGTATCTCTATGGAAGTAGATTGCTCAATCTTCCTTCTAAGGAGTAGCTGGTGGTTAACAGTCAAATGTCTTAGGCACTACATCACCAGAGCTCCTGAGCAAAGGAGGATGTTTTATGCAACAGCTGGTCTTGCTGCAAAATTTCAGAGCGAGAAAGAAACTGAAGACCATCAAAGGCAAAAGCTCTTAACCTGAAATCCAAGGATTCCCAGATGACCCATGAAATGACTTCAGTTAGTCACTTGAACCCATTGGAATCATATACCAAATTTTTTGTGGACGTCCATTTGTTTTGCCGAAGCCCCACATTTAAAATATTTTGGAATTCACAGAAACCAACTTTGTATATTCTAAGTATGAATAATAAGAGTCTTGCCTTTCTTATTAAAGTAACATGGACTAATGCAATTCTCAGGAATGCCTTTCATGAACAAACAGCTGTAAGGTTTATTCCAAATTGGTGTTATGCCAACCCTTCTGCTGTAATCCTGAATGTGCTGAACCGTTCTTGTGAAATCACAGTAGGTTTTCATTATTGTTGAAATGCCCATTATAGAAAGCACTAAAAATACATTTCCATATCAAGATAAAGTAATCTGAAAAAGGGTTATGTTTTTTGGTCTCATTCAGAATAACCAAATATAAGCAGTTATTACTGGTTTCACTGTAGAAAGCAATCTGGCTTTACTCTAAGAGATTATTTTGACTTCTTACCTAACCATATCCAATAGATTCCAAAAGATGAATAAAACACACACCACATATTTCTCTTGGACTTCTTCTTGACTAGTGATGACCACAAAGAGGATGATTATTCTCTCTGTGAGCTAAGAAAGAAACAACAAAGTCAAGAGTTAGGATAATCTTTTTTAGGCCACAAAGATAATTCTCTAATTTTAAATACCAAAGATTTTTTTAAAAGTATGCTTTAATGGAAATATGTATACTAAATTGATGACAATGATAAGCTCTGAGGGATTAAGGTTATGAGTGAATTTCATTTTCTCCTTTTGTATTTTCCAAATTATTTAAAATAAATGAAAAGAAGTATTTTTTATCAGAATCAGGGTATTTCCCATCTACTTGCCATACATGAGCGTGTGCTTTTATTCACTTCGGCAAGCTTTTATTGAGTGCGCACAATGTACTAGATGCTAAAAACAACAAAAAACAAACCAATTGCCATTAAGTCAATTCCAATTTACAGAGGCCACAAGTATCTCAAAGTAGGACTGTGTGCCATAGGGTTTTCAATGGCTGTACTCTTTCTGAAGTAGATCACCATGCCTTTTCTTCTGAGGCACCTCTGGATGGATTCAAACGAACCTTTCAGTTAGTAGCTGAGCACATAATCATTTGTGCCACTCAGGTTTACTATATTAGCTGCTGTGGTGCGGTGAATTACTTAATATAGTCCTTCTAGCCATTGGCTTTGCAATTCCCACCAAATGACTGGATGGGGCTATGCAAACATGAGGTGCCTATGGCCCACGAAGGGGATTAGATAACTTGCTGATAATATAAATAAGGTTCATGACACAGTTGTGGGCATGGGACCATTCAAATAAAGTACATGAAACCCAAAGTGGGGACTGCTCAGTTTGCCATTTTGCTAGACTTAAAATGAGCCATCCTAGAGGTGGAAAGGGGAATCTTACTACCATTAAGAAATTAGAGCTAGGAGTGGAATACATCCTTTGGACCTATGATCCCTGCACTGAACTCAACAGGAGACAAAGATAGAGAGCTGTTAACACTTTGCTGAGACAGCGAGAGACTGTGAGAAGCATGGGCAGAGAACCAGCTGCAGCAGAACCAGGAAACCAGACAGGAGACAATGCAGTGGGCTTTGAGACCCAGGAACGAGAAAGCTGAGTGCCTTCGGGCAAGAGGCTTACTGGTGGAGTGGGATGCCTCTGAGCACTTACCAATGCAAAACTCATCGCACTGCCTTTGAGTTGGAGCCAACTCATACCACAAACCCCCTCCTTGGGTTTCTGAGATGGTATCACTACGAAGTAGACTGACTCACCAGAAGAGCTAAAAGAGCTTTGGAACACTTGCCTGAGCAGGGAAAAGCCAAGGGGCCACGGGGCTGAGAGGCTGAGGGCCAGAGTGCCTACAACTGCTGAGAAGAGTTGTCTTGATTGGAGATCTATATCCTGAGTCATTTCTGATCCTGAATTGTACCTGTTACTTCCCTAATAAACCCCATAATCATGAGTATTATCTGTGAGTCCTGTGTGGCCATTGCAATGAATTATAGTACCCAGGAGAGAAGTAGAGAAAGTAGAGAGTGCCATGGGACAGATAGTTGGTGTCAGAATCGATTTAAAAACAACAAAAAAAGGGTGGAGGTTAGAGGCATGTCTGACCTCCACCTTACTGGAATCAGCTTTGGGCTGTTGATCTTGATCCTCCTCTCCACTTGGTAGAGGAGGTTAGATGTTGCCCCCATACCATTTTCACAGTTGCTAAGACACAGTAAGTCTCTGAGTTATGAATGTCCAACTTAGAGACAACTCACATTTGTCCTTAAATGTTACATAAATTTTCCATCACTTTGAAATGATTGAACCAACCTCCACTCACAACAAATTCTTCATCACAATTACCTTCACTTGCCACATGTATAGCTTTTAAATCACTGAAAAGGCTTTGAGCCTTTTCTTGCATTGAAGTAAGGCTAAAGAAGAGTCATATGTACCTACCTATTCAGACTGACTTACAAATCCAACTTAAAAACACACTCAGGAATGGATCAGTGGGTTGGTTAAAGCATTCAGCTGCTAACCAAATAGTCAGGAGTTCAAATACACCAGCAAAGTAGTGGAAGAAAGATGAAGCAGTCTGCTTTCATAAAGATTACAGTCTTAGAAACCCTATGAGGCAGTTCTACTAACCTATAGTGTTGTTATGAGTCAGAATTGACTCAGTGGCAGGGAGTCTGGGTTTGGTTGGGCAGGAACAGATTTTATTTGTAACCCGGGGAATGCCTGTATATATAAATCATGAAAACATGGTCCTTGCCCCAGAGAGAGTAGCAGTGCTAGAAGGAGGATGTGGAGCAATTACTGTAACACTGTGTGAAGAATACAGTCCATTTGAAGTGCTTCATATGGGCACACAAGTGAGGGAGATACTTTCTGCCTAGGAAAAGTAAGAACAGAAATTTATGAAAACAGGCAACTTTGAGTTGGATCTTAAAGAATAGACAGCAGTTTGTCAGGCTAACCAGATAGGAGAAAGGGCAAAGGGAGCAGCCTGAGTAAAGAGGTGGTGGTTGTTGTTCTTGCTAGGTGCCATCGAGTCATCTCCAAATCATAGCGACCTTGTGTACAGCTGAATGAAACCCTGCCTGGTCCTGTGCCAGCTCCATGATCTCTGCTATACCTGAGTCCATCATTGCAGCCAAAGAGGTAGAGGTATGAAAACGCAGGGAATCAGGAGAGTTAGGAGAACCTCTGGGGCGCTAGAGGGAGGGTACATCAAAGGAAGTAGGAGATGAAACAGTATTTAGTGCCGAGTGTGAATGATTTTGAATAACAGGCTGAGAAATTTCACTTTCATCCAATAGGGAAGCTAGCAGAGTATGTTTTTGTTTTTTAATGAAGGGGAGTAATATAATCCTTTCCTAGTGATACTGCCTCAGAAACCCAACGAGGGCTTGCTATGAGTCGGATCAACACCACGGCAGTGAGTTTGGTCAGTTTTTCTTCACAAACAACTAGCAGAAAATGAAAAGAATTCACATGCCTTATGGGTTACCTCCAACTACTGGCCTTAAAAAAAAAAAAAAAAAAAAAACCTCCTCTTGCCCAATCTATTTTCTTCTTTTATTAATATCCCCTGTACATTCTGAAATTTTTGTTTTTACTAGTTAGAACATTTTACTTTGCTCTTAATGGTCAAAAGGTAATACACCTGAGATGTTGTTGTTGTTGTTTTTATGTGCTGTTGAGTTGGACCCGACTCATAGCGACCCCTCCTTGGGTTTCTGCGGCAGTATCACTATGTAAGTAGATTGCCCTATCTTCCTTCCAAGGAGTGGCTGGTGGGTTTGAACCGCCAGCCTTCTGGTTAGCAGTCAAGTGCTTTAGGCACTACGCTACCAGAGCTCCCATACACATGAGATAGAGAGAGCATATTGGTGATAAAAGAAAGGGAGAATTGCATTACATTTTTCAATAGCTGTCTTTATTTTTAAAGAGATGCAAGGAGAGAAAACCGTTGGATAATCTGACTTAGAATCACAGGCTATTAGTTGTGGAGGATTGTCTACTATAGAAAAATCCAAGATTTGGCAACAGTGGGCCACAGGATCAGAAACCCAATGTAGAAGCTGTATCAGTGTTTTCATGACTATAGTGTTGAGTCAGCAGTGAGGCTCCTCTCTTGCCTAAGAGGAATTAGATAATGGTTCAAACCTTAGTAAATCCACACAAATTATTGAGATAGCTGCTTTTCTTTGGTCAGCCTTTCCTTATAATGCCCTAGGTTCTTGATTTAATTTTGGTGGAATTAATCTTTAAAAGTTCTTATTTATACTGAATTATACTGAACTTCAATTATAATTGCTGAAGGATCCAATCTTGCTGTCATGATACCTGGCAGCCTTTAGATACAAGATCTTAGCAGCAAATAAGTACTAGGTACCATCTAATCTTTTATTTAATTAATGCCTGCTAATTAGGAAAACATTTTAGTTTACATTAAATATCTCAGGAGTTACACATACATGAATGTGTGCACACATACAAAGGCTTCTAATTACATGGCTGACTTCTGAAAAAACTTAGATACCTCATGATAAGATGGTAGAGTTTGGTTATATCTGCAGGGTCCACTCCAGGTATAATGTTCTGATACTAGCCTGACTCCATCTTTTTCCAAAAAAAGAATCTGAGAACCAGAGAAGTTAAGTGACTTGCCCCAGCTAGTGGCAGACCTGAAGATATACATATCCCATGGTTCCTGGTTTTCAGAGTTTTAAGTTATCCATGATATCAGGCCACCCTTTCAATGATGAGGATAGAGGGGGAAATCTCCTAAAAGAGGGAGGCTTGGCTGGACAATGAAACTCATCCAGTTGATAATCATCACCTAGGCATCTGTGACACGTTAGTGATGGAATCCCAATTACACAGAAATCAGCAATCAACATGCCAATAAAAATACAACACATGTATACACACATGTAGGTATGTGCAGGCTCCCTACATTAAATGCCAGTTTATTTAACGTTGTTGTTGTTACGTGCTGTCGAGTAAGCCCCGACTCATAGTGAACCCTCCTTGGGTTTCCGAGGCAGTATCACTAAGGAAGTAGATTGCCCAACCTTCCTTCCGAGGAGTGGCTGGTGGGTTTGAACTGCCAGCCTTCTGGTTAGCAGTCAAGTCTGATGGTTATTTAACTCAACCATTCAATGGTAGCACAACAGAGAGTTTGTGTGCAGATATTCTTAAATTAAGAAATACCAATATTTATTGGTTACTTTGTGCCAAACATGCATCAACTCATTTAATCTCCATAACAACCTTAAGAAGTAGGTGCTATTACTATCAACTGTGTTTTACAGAAGACACCAAATATTACAAAGTGAAAGTTGTCTGCCTACAGGTCTAGAATACAACTCTCAACATTCCAATTCTAAATCCTTTACGCTTAATCATTAAGATAGGACTTTCCAAGTTCTGTATTCTAAGGGCTACCCCGGTGCCTAATATCCAGGTTATATTTTGTTCTTTACAAAAGCCTGCCCCCAAAATTAACCCTTCAAACAAGAACATCCTTGATTTTCTCACCAAAACAATTTTGATGAACAGAT